AGGATTTACATTGAACCCTATGGGAAAATTTGTGTCGGGTTACGACCAACTCGGGATACGCCCAGAGTCATGGAACGCATTAAGTTCCTATCCCGAGGTACCACTGTACTATGATTTTGTTCATTTTATTTTTTATTTTTTGAGCACTAAAACCTTTTTGTTAACTTCTGGAGCATTTGTTTGTTTATGTATTTAACAATATTTAAGTGGTTGCAGAAGTGTAAAGTAAGTCTGTTGGTCAAATCAGCTGTGTGAAAATGAGATTCAAAAAATATATTTTCTGCTCTAAGAAATTATCTTTATCACGCGCAGATCTTCCAGATTTTAATAGCGTTTGCATATCAGTGGTTTTAGTAAGCCCCACTTCATAGTTTACTGAATAAGACATGAGCAAGCAACAGGAGCAGTTGAGAGGCTGCTTCAACTGGAAATTTATGCTAGTGGAAAGTAATAATGCACGTGCAAGTGAGATGCCCAATTTTCACAAGTCCTCGCAGCCACTCCAGCTCTCCTTGCCATAATCCATACTATTCCAGAAAGTCCCCCAACTCTGAGAAGTGCTGCTGGGGACTGCAGTGACTAGGTGGGCTGCTGAGAGGCGTCTCTCGTGCACAGGAAGTGTTTTCCATCAGCTAAAAGCAAGGTGTGGATCATCCAATCCCAGTGGTGGAAATAAGCAAGATGGACCAAAACAAGCATTTTCAGATTTCTCCACCTGTAAGGAAAGCGCAACCAAGACAAATACTGGCCTTAAGACAAATGATTTCAGCCATCAGCACCTCAGTGGAAATTTGGAAGCAATGCCTTGAAATAAAGCAGTTGTTCAATGGGACTTGATTCCAAAACAAATGCAGAAGCCTGATCACAGCACTTTTTTTTTAATCTTGCAGAAATAAATATGTAAATGCCCCAATGATAAATTATGATGTCCTATAACTGATTATTGAAATATCAGGAAAGTTGTATTAAGTATGGGAAGAAAATAGTGCTCTGTAGCTAAATGTGGAATCAAGTGCCACACAGCCCAACGTACAATGTTCAGTTGCCCTGTAACCTAGTTACTTCTGCCCCCTAAAAATCTCTCTGTCCGTTAGAAATTTCCATGCATTCTGGTGATTTCTGAGTTGGAGAGGGAGAGGGACTTGACAACGTTTAAATGTTTCTTAAAAGGGGGTTGTGTCCTGAAGGAGAATGGTACAGGCTGCCTACTATCGCTAATGCAATAATTGTGTGAATGGTCTTGATGCTCTATCACTATACTGAATAAGGGGAATCTGTGCATAGAGTGCCATCTACAGAGAAAAATTAATGGTAGTTGTGTAAGTTGCTTCTTAAGCTGTGTTCTTAAATCAATTCTATCCATAGAACAATATGTTCCAAAAGGCAAAGGGAGTAATTTAATTAAACACAGTCAAAGTCCCAAACCATGAAAGCATTGCACAAACTGAAGCAGCATCAGTGGTTCTTTCTGGAGCAAAGCACAAGAAGATTTCCCCCAAGAAACATTCAGCCAAGGCCCAGAGGATCCTGTGATGTGTTTGATCAAACTGTTTTCTCTACCTCTCAGAACATCTCCTGTGTGTCTTTTCCTGTCTTGCGTTATAGTTCAGACAAAGATGCATTGATGTGGCATTTTTCTGAGCATTTGAATATATATACCAGTACGGTAATAGGAAAATTTGACTGTGTGCATAGACTGGCAAGCCCCAATGAGCATATATGGTATTTCCTTTCAACTTACAGATTAGATGGGGAACTGATATTCAGCAGCAAAATAAATCACGTAGATCAATAAATGTCCAACATATTAACACTTTCCATATTTTTTCACATTAGAACGCTCTTTTAGAATCTATTTTTGAAGTTTCTAAAATCCAGTTTAACAGATTAAATTGAAGCAAGGGAACATTAACAGAGAAGATGAAACCATGTTCAGTTGGTAGAAAATATACTATTATGTTCAACATTAAATTTAAAAAGTGGGATCACATTGTGATATCATCAGTGTGGCTGTGATAGCATTTCATGAGTATCATAGAAATGAACAACAATTAAACCATTTATAGAAATCTGTGATAGCAACTGCATTTGACATAACCCACAATTCCAAACTAAGAGTTATAAAAGTATAGGTGATTTGGTTTAAGCCAACATCTAGTGAGTTTATATAAGCATGTAACACCAATACAAATAACTCAACGTGTGGGCAAAAGCGTCGTGTTATTAGCCAGATAGCATTTTCTTTTCTTTTGTTTGTAATGGTTAATAGTGGACCTGTGCACTAATACAAATAGAACTAGATCTCTTTTAATGAAATAATGTATTTGATGAATCTGAAGCAAAAAAAAAAAAAAAGTTGATTTCTTAAATTTCTATTTTTTTCCAGAAAGCATTATTTTTCATAACTGTTACCATACATTCTGTTTGAAAACCTTTTTGAACAACATAATTAATTAAGACTCCTATTTTATTGTCCGAGAGTTAATTATTTTGTTTCCATTTTCAGTATCATCGACAAGGAGGTGGCTTTAATGGCAGAAGTCGACAAAGTTAAACAAGAAGCCAGTAAGTAGAAATTAAAATTAAAACTTTTTCTAATGGCAATGTTTATTTCAGAAGTAACCTTGGATATTGTATGTTTCAATTTGGACATGAATTTTCCCAACTAAAATCACAGAGACTGTTAGAATAATTTGGGTGCTATACATTCAACAGTTAGGCATTTGAAACTTATCATGGATTGGAGAGTGAACACTGAAATATTTCCAACAGTGAAAATAGGTCCTTCCCACTTTTTTCTTTTTTCAATTTAAGAAAAGAATATTTCACTTCCAATACATTTCAAATCATACTAGACAATGTGGCCTAAATTAATAAAAGCATAAATCCAATATATAATGTTCCTCCATATTTTTACACCAGAAATAAAACAATTCAAGTAATGCTTGCTAAATTTGTTCAAGTCAAGGGTGGAAGAAGGAAAAGAAAAAATTGAGATTGAAACAAGATTACTAATGCTCAAGGCTATGACATCTTTTGCAGAAAGCTGATAAAACAGTTACTTGTGATAAGTTGGTTTCCAAAACTGCACCAACAGATTTGGGATGATTCCCCCCTCTCTTTTAAGATACCCACTTTTCTGAGAAAAGGCGTTCCTAGAAACTGCAGTGGGGAAGAGAAAGACTGGAATTTCCCCTGGGTGAGTGGAAGGCTGTTAAAATAGCATTAAGAGGGGTAATCCCATTCTGACCTTTTTAGGGAAAGGCAAGATACAGATATTGTAACACACGGAAACCAACAAAGAAAGGAGTCATTTCATGCATTGATAGGTGACTTAATTTATCTTGGTGGTTATCTCTTCAACATGCACATTTAACATTTCGCATTATCCTATTTTCTTTGGCAGTAGATATTTTGACTGCGCGTCAGAAAAAAGCTGAAGAATTGAAGAGACTAACAGATTTGGCAAGTCAGATGGCAGAGACTCAGCTGGCTGAATTGCGGGCTGAAATTAAGGTCAGCTTTTAAAGGATATTCCTCTTGAAAATAAGTGTAGTTGTATACATGCCAGGCATTCTATTTCAGCAGTTAGCACCAAAGCTGGGCTCAAGCAAAGTATAAATCTAGCCTTTTAAGAATGTTGTCTTAAAGCTATGCTATCACCCTTATATGTTGTCTTAAGATTTTGAAAAGTAATATTCAGATTCATATAAGCAAAGTATTTCCTGCTTTTCTTTCTAATTCTACGAACATTGCAATAGTTCTTTTTGTTTTCTTTTGAGTCTTATGCTTTATCTTCCCTGTATAATTGTAGACTTTTTTTCCAGTGACAAATATTCCCTCCATTAAATGTGAGGATAGGATATTGTACTTTTGATTCTGAATCAGATTTTGCAGTAGCACTTCACAAAGATAAAAAAACATTCAAACTTATATTCAAAAATATTCAAACTTACATTCAAAAAAATATTCAGACAAACAGATTGGAGCATGCATCTCCTCAAAAGTCTTTTGTTCAACAAGTTGGGCTTCAGTGTGATTTTCTAGTTATTTAATCATGTGAGGCTATTTATAACAATTACTTTCCCCTTCATTGTAGCACTTTGTAAGTGAACGTAAATACGACGAAGAATTGGGTAGATCTGCCCGCTTTTCCTGTGACATTGAGCAGTTGAAGATGCAGATATTACAGTGCGGAGAAAGTAAGTTGTGGTAGAGTCTCCATTCCTCTCAGGTTCTTAATTAATTGCCCATTAGAACAGTTGTTAGAACCATTTTCGTAGCTAGTAACTATACTGGATACCCTACTGCCTTTGGTTTAACTTTTCTGGAATTCATGTCAATATGATTTATCAATATGATAAAATCTGCATTTTTTCTTTGCAGTTTTCCATCCAAAAAACAATTACTCCTCAAGAACACCATCCAGTACATTTCTTCAGTCACAAACTTCAAAATCAGCAACCAAACTACAAAGTACATATAACCAAAAATATTCTAATCAGACTCCTGCCAAGACTTCTGATCATAAAACAGCAATAACTAAAGGTTCAAGCCAAGTTATCCCAGTTACGGAATCATCTTCTCATGTAATTTCAACAAATAAACAGGTAAAGACCGAGAAAAAGTTTTCTCAGTGAGTCAGCATAAAAATTATAAAGTAAAAAATTTACAGCTGCATGAAAAACATCATGTAGACACATAGTTGGAATTACTTTCATCAAGTCAATGTCTTCCCAGAATCAGGAATTATTTTGAATGCTATATTATTAAAATACTCTAAATCAATGTTTCTCAACCTTGTCAGCTTAACAGTATGTGGATTTCAACTCCTAGAGTTCCCCAACCAGCCAGTCCATGTGTCTTCAAGTTGCCAAGATTGAGAAACACTGATCTAGATTCTGGAACACCTTTAGATTTGATTTATGTGTGTGACCTCAAGAGACCTTTCAGCTGATTGTCATATTCCTAAAATTTAATTGAGCAGAACTTACATTCTTTTCCAGTCCAGGATGAGACACATCAATTAATGAATTGAAAATGTCACAATGAAGGCTTATTCTCACATCCATATATAAGCCTGTTTCTGTCTCTCACATATACCACCTTAATCTAGCTGAAACAGTCTCTGATGAAGCATCTCCAAAATACTGAATTCAGATATACAGTATATGCTTACAAGTATTGCACTCATTTGGAAAGGACAACTGTCACTTACTCACCCTTATGGAATTTCTTAAGAGAAATTATTCTACCTGGCTGTGTTACTCCATTCTTTGGGAATAGACTCAGTAGTTCCAGAAATATTTTGTTTTGGAACAGGCTTAAGTATTGTGTATGTCCAGGTTTATTTGGTGATGGTTATAAATCTGTCTTCATCCACAACCTAATTGGTTTGGGGTCCTCTTGGACTCATGGCTCCTGCTGGAAGATCAAGTAGCAGCCATGGCCAGGGGGGCTTTTGCAGAAACCTGTCTTGTGCGCCAATTGCACCCATTCCTGGACTGGGGGGCCTTGCTCATAGTCACTTCCCCCCTGGATTACTGTAATGCACTCTACATGGGCCTGCCTTGAAGACCATCCAGAAGCTGCAGCTGGTCCAGAATGCAGCTGTATGCATAGTTTTGGGTACCTTGTGGTTCACCTGAGTAACACCACTGCTGCCTGAGCTACACTGGCTTCCAGTTGTTTTCCAGGTGCAATCCAAGGTACTGGTTATCACCTTTAAAGCCCTACATGGCATAGGGTCAGGTTATTTGCAGGACTGCCTCTCCCTGAGAGTATCTCCCCATCCTAGTAGGTTAGAAAAAGTGGCCATGCTCCACGTCCCCTCCCTTAAATGTTCTCACCTAATGGGACCTCAGAGGTCTGCCTTATTGGTGGCCACCCAGCTCTTTGGAACAGCCTCCCACCTGAGATCTGAGGGATCCCTACCCTTTCAGCCTTCTGGAAGGCTGTGATGACCTGGCTCTTCCCCAAGCATTGGGTAAGATGGGGGGTTGAGTTGTGAGGATGTTTGAACTGGCACCTGGGGGGTAAGGTGCTTTTAACTATGTTTTATGGATTGTTGTGAGCCGCCTAGAGTCATTTTATGAGATAGGTGGCCATATAAGTCCTGTAAATAAATAATGAGGCAGCCAATCTGGCATGTGTAACCAAGATCTGGGTAGGCTTGGAGGGAAGTTTTCCCCTTTCAGAAGTGTGTCCCCCAAGATCTTTGACATCAGCTGAGACTCTGGGGAGGAGTGTGCCTATTGTCATCTGTGAGTCATTGTAGGCTTTCAGAGACTCTACACCACAGATAACCAGATGTGAGACCCTCTGGCTGAAATTGGGTTCTAGCGGACATATGGAAATGTATCATCCTCCCTGCTGCACAGCTTCATCCCTGCCTGACCACCTAGAGTCCATTGCCAAGCTGTCTATGAAGGCCCCGAAGCTGTTAGTCCTGGGGATTTCAATTTGCTACCAGACAACATTGAGTTCAGAGCACTTCTATGGCAACCATAGAGACATCCCAAGTCATTGAAGGCTCGATGTGTACCAGTAGTCCCATTTTGGACCTGGAAGTGGAGGACAAAACCATCGGTCCATTGTGATGCTCAGATCACTTTCTGATTTCGACTTGGCTGGTGTCACTCCACCTCACAGGGAGATAGAGTTTGTTAGATCGGCCCATCACAGGTGAGACCGAGTTTTTCCCTGAGAAGTGGGCAGTTCGGCTGAAGCCTTTATTGCAGCCTTGAATGGGTGGGTGGCAGAGGCCCTGGGCCATATTGCCCCTCTGTAGTCTCTCTCTGCACTTCAACACCTGATGAACAGGGTCCTTCAGACTGTGAGTTTGGCTACCTGTTCATTATATCCAGTTCCCTCCTGGGTTGTTAAAGCTGCCCAGGAGGGGACTTGTGCTAGGGTCTCTGTAGTGATTCCTTTGGCCTTGAAGGAGTTGGTGGTGCACCCCTTCCTCAAGAAGCCATCACTGCACTTAACAATTTTGAACAATTTTTGTCTAGTTTCCAACCTTCCCTTTTGGGTGAAGGGAAGGTTGAGAAAGTGGTCAGACAACAGCTCCAGAAGATCTTCGAGGAAACAGACCATCTGGACCCATTTCAGGCTGGGGAATTTCCATCTGTAATCTTCAATAGGGTTGCATTTCCTCATTTGAGACTGATGTGGAATCTGGGTGTTGTCTTGGACTCATAGCTCCTACTGAAGGAGTACATAGCAGCTGAGGCCAAGAAGACTTTCACACCTTCATCTAGTACGCCAGTTGTGCCTGTTCCTGGGCCAGGACACCCTACTCACCTCACAGTGGATTATTGCAGTGTCTTGTATGAGGGGCTGCCCTTGAAAACCATTTGGAATGGTCCAGAATATGGCAGCGTGTATAGTAAAGGGCATCTCACAATATGCCCATATGATGCCACTGCTCCGCAAGCTGCAGTACCAGTTGGGTTTCAGATGCCATTCAGGGTGCTTGCTAGTTATTACTTTTATACCCTTTGTGGGGTAAGGCCCAGTTATTTGACGGACCGCCAATCTCTGATCGTTTCTGCCCATCTGGTGAGATTGGACAGAGTGAGTGCATTTCAGTTTCCTTTGATAAGACAGCACTGTATTACCTCTTGGGGCCTAGAAAGGACCCCATCATAGCACTACCCCTGGAACAGTATCCTCCCAGAGATCCATACAGCTCCCACCCTGATGCAGATCAGAAAGCCACTGAAAACTTGGCTGTTCTCCTAGTCCTAAGGCAGAGTGCTGTTTGAGTGCCTATAGGATATTTTGTTTGGTATAGAGTTTGTCTTTTGGATGCTTATGATCTGCCTCTCTTTTAATTCTTACTTTTAAATGTAACCTGCCCAGAGTTGTTAGTAATTGGGCAGCCTCTAAATTGTGTTAAATACATAAACTTTCCAGATTAAGATAATGAGGAAAAGCAAGGCAAGCTTTTCTAGAAAGACGGTAAGATCTGACATGTTCTTGAATATGTCACAAGATGACCTTTATTACAAGTGAGAGGGTATTAATAGGAAGACTCTGTTGTGCTATGAATATTCATACACTAGTTCATCAAAATATTGGAATTAGTGAAAAAATGTTTCACTTCCCAAAACATGGCAACAGGAAACCTTATTTCTGAATTGAGCTAAGCCAGGCCCAGTGGCCATTTTGTCTTAGTGTCAGAGGAACGCAATTAGCAGCAATTCAAGCAGCTTGCCACCAGTTAGCTTTTTGTTTTGTTATCTTCCCCCCAGTTCCCCCAAGGAGGAACTGTGGTTGATGTGATTTTATACTCCCAGCCAGTAGAGGCTGCATAGTTGATGGGTCATTGGAACTGCCTCAATGACTGTGATGCTGACATGGTTAGGTAATAGATATGGTTTGGTGGACATAAGAATAATAATCCTGCCCAGCTTTTACCAATCAGAACTGGATGAAAGTTGCACTGGAATGAGTCCTGACGTTGTTCTTTCTTCCTTGACAGAATGTGCCTTCAGGTCCGAGACGAAGATTTCATGCGCATTACCATGGCGTTCGAATCAACAGCTCTCTTAAGCCCCAAAGTCCTGGTGATGAGCCTGATCAGAGCAACCCAAAGAGTCACTCCCGACACGAATACCGACGGCAGCACCATCATAGTTTTAGGCCCAAAAACAGAGGTGCGGTGAAAGCTCAAGAGCAACCAACACCCGTAAGAAGCCTAGAAAAGGTAGCATACCCAGAAAAAACACATCAAAAGCATCCTCTTCCAGGCCCCACAGAGCCCAGCCCTTCCTGCAGCAATATAGCAAGGGCTTCTCAATGTAATTTATGTCCTCCAAGAATAGAGACTTCTGGAGACACACCTGTCCTCTCAGTCACAGTGCCAGCTGTGACCTTAGTGGCATGAAAACAGTAGTTTTCATCTTAGGTTTTTCACTAAAGGTGCTTCTCCCCTCCCTTGTTGTGTACTCCCCAAATACCGACAAAATAGCTTGAGAAAAATATTACACTTGTGGTAAACCAAACTTGCTAAAATCCTCTCAGCTGAATCTCATTTTCTACATGGAAAGCTTTGCTCAGTATACTCAAGATTATTTTTTCATAATAATGCAGCTTTAGCCAGCAGTACTTAAAGATCTACTAGACTGATGTTGAAAAATAAACTGCAAGAGGGTGTCATTAGAGATACGTGTTTATTACTGCCCAATTTGTTGTCAGTCATATTAAAGAGGTAAAATACTGGCATCTCTAGCGTTGAACTGTTATATAAACTCATAACATTTTTCACTCTTTCCATATTAGATGGAATTCAACATTTGTACAGAAAAAATCTCATAGTTCTTTGTGACCTAATGTCATAGCCAGAAAGATATTCAAGATCAATCCTAAATAGTAAACAAACTACATATCAGTTGTTCTGTGCTGTAATATTTGTAAAAGGTCTGTTTTTTCCATTTGAAATTTATATAACTTACACAGTACAGTTTTCCAAGCTCTTGAGTCCTTTTTTAGTGACTGATTATTTTTTGTGGACTAAAAATTGAATGTGTTTCAGTCTCAGATTCTTTTTTTTGGCGGGGGGGAGCTATTCCTACATTTATTTATTTGAGTTCAAGAGGGTAAACTTAACATACCCACTAACAGTTTTTACCTACAACAACAACCCTGTGAGGTGGATTGGGCTGAGGGTGAGTGACAAGTCCAAAGTGACCCAGTAAGCTTTTGTGGCTACCCATGTTAGTAGTACTAGCATCTATTATGGGCTTATAACTAAGGACAGTACACTCAAATTGACCCAGTAAGTGACCCAGTAAGTCACTTTTGACTTACAATTGACCCAAAGTGACCCAGTAAGCTTTTGTGGCTACCCATGTTAGTAGTACTAGCATCTATTATGGGCTTATAACTAAGGACAGTACACTCAAATTGACCCAGTAAGTGACCCAGTAAGTCACTTTTGACTTACAATTGACCCAAAGTGACCCAGTAAGCTTTTGTGGCTACCCATGTTAGTAGTACTAGCATCTATTATGGGCTTATAACTAAGGACAGTACACTCAAATTGACCCAGTAAGTGACCCAGTAAGTCACTTTTGACTTACAATTGACCCAAAGTGACCCAGTAAGCTTTTGTGGCTACCCATGTTAGTAGTACTAGCATCTATTATGGGCTTAGAACTAAGGACAGTACACTCAAATTGATAAAATAATATTTAGTTTATTATTGTACCCCACTGCAATACCACAGCATTCTCAGCAGTTTATAGGAGTACAGAAATAATTAAATAATCCATGGCCACCATTAAAAATAAAGATACTTAAAAACCAGCATCCTGTGATTGTATTCCAAACGCCCTCTGGAAGAATGTTTCAGCTATTTCTGGAAAGCAGTTAATGTAGGAGCTAACCTAATCTCTAGAGACCAATCCAGAGGTCCAGCACTGCCGCTAAGCAGCAGCACCTCTAGCCTTGGCTCTCCTCTCCCCCTGAAAGTAGGGAACTGCCAGCTGCTTTCCTGACAAGATCAAATTGGTTGGGACAGATGTGGTCCTGATGATAAATTGGTGTCAAGCCTTAAAGGGCTTTATAGGTCAAGATCAACAATTTAAATTCCACCTAGAAGCCCATGAGAAGCCAGTGCAGCACCCACACCACAGCAGTAATATACTCTCACCAGCATGTGCCAGATAGCAGACAGGCTATTACACTCTGGACCAGCTGGATATTCTTGAGTCACCGCTGTGTTTAAGGGCAGCCCCATATAGAACATATGGAGGTAGTCCACCCAGGGGATGACAAGGACTGAGTCACTGCAGCAAAGTCCTCTCACCCCAGATAGGGCTGCAGCTAGGGCACAAGCCCTCTGGTCATGGCTTCCATCTACTGTTCCAGCTATGTGTCCATGAGGACCATCAAGTTGTGGACCAACTCCTTCACAGGTAATGCTTCCCCATCCAGTGCAGCCACCAGAAATTCCAGTGGATAAACGTGATTTAGAGGCCACCCAAGTCCAAATGACTGGGTGGCTTATGCTTAATAAGCAAGAAACAGTAAAAACATAGGTACAGATCATATGCATCCAGAAGCTAAACTATATAACAAACATCTTACAGGGATTCAGTACCACCCTATCCCAAGGCCTGAGAGAATAGCCGTGTTTTCAGTGACTTTCTGAACATCATCAAGGTAGGAGCCATACAGATCTCAAGCGGGGGGAAGGTGATGTTGGTCCAAAGGGCAGCAGCAAAATAGAGAAGGCACACTTCCAAGATTCCAAAAAATTGTGTTAATCAAAGAGACCTGGAGGGCACCCACTCTACCGAATCTAACTGGATTAGCAGGAACTGGGAGGTAGGCCATCCCTCAAATAACCAGGTCCTACGCCACGAATGGCTTTATAGGTGGGAACCAGCACCTGGAATTACACCCAGAAGTACACTGGCAACCAGTGCAGCTTGCAGAGAGTTATCTCTTTCATCAAAAGGTATTTTTCATCAACATTATCCTAAAACAACTGTATATGAACATATGAAAGAAGTACTATTTTGACATTCTGCCATACAATTAATTAATTAAAGCCACAGGAATCCCATTTCTTGATGATGGATGAAAGGCTAACTGACTTAGGTTTGTTATCCCATGCTCTGTCACATTAAAATAGTTTTCTCATATTAACTCTTGCTCTGCCCTCATCAAAGCAAAATGCTCCACTGTTTAGGAAATGAACTTAAGTTTTTAAATGCTATATTGAACCACTGTCTCATGTACTGTAATTCCTTCATCCGGTCCATCTCTACTACTATCATTAGACAGAAACAATTAAAATACTCTAATAAATTCTGAATGTGCCATTGATAAACTGCAGCATTAGATACTTATCTAGACCCCAAAGGGCCTTTTTCCTGAGAAGACAGAAATTAAGGGTAATGGTGTAATAACACCTACAAAAAAATCATAGCCCAAAGAGACTAGCAATTAAAAAAAAAAAATTCTTCAGTTTAATATAGACTTATTTTATTTAAAAAGTTTCAGATTACTAGTAAAGACAAAAGCTTTGCAAAATCACTTTTCTTCTAAAATATTATTTATTCCTATTGTTATCAGAGGATATTACAAAACAGCTTCAAACATTAATTATTGTCTATCTTCACTAACCTCACCATGGATATTGTGTTTAATGGATTAACAGCAGGGGGATGGCTTGGGAAGGGGAAATGAGTAGCAATGAGATTTGGCCACTGCCATACAAGGAGCTTGAGCCAGCTTGAAAACAGCTGAGCTGATTTATTTGTCTGAAATTCGCCTTGCTTCTCAAATGCTTATAGCCTTGTGGAACTTGTGGGTAGTCAATTTCCCGTTTGCATAGGTGTGCTTCACCATGCTTTTCAGCTCCTGGGCTCAGCCTTTCAAGGATAAAGATGGCTTCATACTTCTTCAACTCCCTCCTGGGACTTGCTGGACGGAAGGGAGGAATACGACCAGACAAATGCACCCAAAATGAAGTTAGGATATTGACTGGAGAGGGGAGCACCATTTAGTTCTGTTTGGCTAGATGGAGATGAAAGGATTTTGATGAATTGGAAATAATCGTGGCATGGAAGTGTCCTAGTGACCTCAACAAAAGATATTTTCAAACCTTAAGGGTTTGGAGAAAAATATATTTCTGATGATCATCTGATCCAGTATTGTTTTCTGTGTTGGGGCCAGAAGGATAGATAGGGAAATGGAATGCTTGGGAAGAACAGTGCAAGCTGCAGGGAAACTCAAAAGCAACATTCCTGGAGAAACTATGGAAACTTTTCCTGAAAGCTGGAAACATTATCATTGCAAAAAGAGGAATAGTCCCCAAAGTCAATTTTATCATTAGATAAAAATGTTTTCACAGCTGTCTGCATGCTCAGAGAACCTATCTTTGTAAGAATCTCAGCTTTGTAATAAGAAAGTATCCCTCAGACCATATTAATACATGGTTAACATATTGGAAATATGTGGCCATACCTATTAAAAGCAGAACAGCCAGAACAATGGCAGAATAAGAATCCTAGTGTTCAAGAGGAGGAGACTGCTGTTCTCTACAGGCCCAGAACAAATTGCACAAGTTTTAAAAATGTTAAAAACCATGGAACACACACAACCTAGCATGACTAACGTCCCATATTTAATCTGTATTACTTGATTTAGAATGCACATTACAAAAATGAACACTGATAAACTTCTTATACCATCCACCATCTTACCAAAGCATTCTAAATACTTCCAATATATTTCTGCAACCTGGGACTGATTTGTCCTCTTGGAAGGTAAAGTTTTGTTGTTAGAAGATAACGACCAGTAAGTCTTACAAGGTACCAGCCTCATATATCACCACTCAGCTGCTTATTCTGGAGACCATCTCTGATACTGGTGCACTTCAGGGAAAGCCCCAAACGCTCACAGTTTAACGGGTGGGATGCAGAAGTAGCAGCAACTGCAGCAGATGGAATTGGCTGTTTAACTTTCTTCATGACTGATGAAGAATGCTGAGTCAGCAATTCATTACAGAGTGGAGTCCGCTTCAGTTTTATCACCCGACTGGTTGCAGACTTTCTGGACAAGGGAGACTTTGAGATCATTTTGCCGACTACCCCACTGTCAGCATTCCTAAGAGAGGCCTGAGAATTTTTAGTCAATGGTATGGTCTTCGCATAAACAGTTTTGGAAATTACTTTGCTTGTTAAAGTGTCTCTGCTGGGCGACTTAAGAACCGTTTGGGGATGTGAAGATGCTGCCATCTTTAAAGAAGCCGAGTTCTTAACTTTGATACAGGTACTTGTAGAGGGGCCAGAGAATTGAACTGGCTTTCGAACTATTCTATTGTTCAGCTGACTTTCTTCCTCATCAAAAGGATCAACTATTCGTCTATAAAAAAAATCATTAGGTTCACTGAATCTAGTACTGTAAAGACACAGAATAAGTATAATATTCAACATATGCAAAACTCTTTTTACTCCAATATCTGCTTAAAATGGCATGCCCCCCCCCCAGACTTTTCAGTCATTGAGGAAAAACAATCAGGACAATATTGGTAATCAGTTGCATTTGGCACAAACAATAGAAAAAAAATATATGTTCTTATTTAATACTGATTACAGCATATTTCCAAGTATATTTTTCTTATGCTCATGATTAAGTATTACAAAATGGGCTGAGGATCAGCTTGCAATTTAATATATAGCAAAGGGACTATTACATGGATTTTGTGCACTGAACTGTTACGTTTTATAAATACCAAAAAAAAAAAAAAATGCACAGAAGTAGCCTGTATCATTAGCATGACTTAAGTTTTTAAACTGGCTTACTAATATTGAATTTAGCATTTATTTTATAATATAGTTAGTAATAGATCATATTTTGTAGGGTTGTGATACTCTGAAAAAGATTCAGGAGCACAATAGACCACACATAAGCATGAGTGCAGCATCTCTCTGCTACTCATTAAAGAAGCCCGGCATTTTTCAGGTATCCACATGAGCCTGAAAGAAAGTTGCTTTAAGAAATGCCCTCATTAAAGATTCATTTAAGATCATTCAGCTGCCCAGTCACTTGTTGAGATGGGCCATACAAATTGAATGAATGAATGAATAAATTTTATGTGGCTCTTAAAGCAAAAGCCCTTTTTTTCCCCCCCGGCTTGCATGGAGGCCTGAAAAAAGTTGCACTATTTTAATGAAAGCACAAGTGCTGCCCTTGCACAAGGTCCAAAACATTTCTTCCTAATAACGTTTGAAACACACACAGAGTCCTGATATTTTGTAATGTATTGTTTAACATATATATAGCAGGTGGGTTTACTGACCCTTCTATAATACACTTAACTACACAATCATTTGGTAACACACACATTCCTTCTATCAAAGTGATATAAAAAATCAAGTGCAAATATGGCTTCTACTCCACATAAAAGCTACAACAGGCAATGAACCACAATACCTACCGTTTACGTACTGGAGACATGTTCTGAAGGCTTCCTTTCAAAGAATGCTCCTCAAGAGTCCAGCACTCTATCAGCTCCTGTGGTACTCGCCAATAGCTGGCACCTTGTAATTTCAAACACATCATTTCACAATATTCAAGATGCATAAATTTGGTAACTTCTACCTGAAATTCACTGATATGCAATAAGGAATGTGTTAATGCAACTGGAAACATATACCCGCATTACAACAGTTTCTCTTGTGTTCCCATAATTAAATTAAAGGGCAATATTATATTCTGAATATTTTTTCCTACATACAAAACGGAACTATATCTAGCATTACATGAGTGAGGTTGCTGACATAAAAATATGAGGTCTTGTTCTCTCCCCTCATCCTTTTCCTGCACACATCCCATCCTTTGGAAGATTTTCAACCTGATGCACTGGATCTAGGATGTATATGGGGGGAGGGAGATACTGCAGGATGCAACTCCTACTTTCTAATTTATAATCATTTTTTCCCTTTCTCTTGTGCAGCAATTGCCTGAAGTAGTAATATGTTTCCAGAAAGAACAAAAATAATGGATCTTACACTTATTTAACCAATTCCCTTAAGAAAGTATGTGGACATTTTCAAAATTCACAATCCTTGTTCTGGCAGAAATGAATATTAAACTATCATGCCAACACATGATAGCATGAACCCAATACATGATATTTGAAATACACATGATATTTCTTGTATTTCACAATTGCTGACTACACTTTTTATGATATTGAAATAACGGATAGCTGGCTGTTTGAGCCTGAGTAATAATAATGCCCAACACATTCAGTTTGTGCTAAGTTAAGAACCAGCTATGTCCTTTTCCTTATGTTGCTGAAGAATAAATGAAAAAATACCCTAGCTATCCCTCCAAAAGATGAGTCCTTCAACAGCTGACTTCTAACCACATGTGCTTTTAGTCTTTACAGAAAACTCCATCTTCAAATACAGAAATACATATATATACCTCTTCCTTCCCATGCCTCAAATGCATCCATTATCTTTTTCAATTCTGTCGCTGAATAGTAACTCCAAATGTACTGGATATTGTTTCCAGCCTCTCTAGGAAGAAAATGTAGAAAAAGACCAAATGAAAAGCAAAATTTTGCTGAAGTTATTTTTTCATACCCAGAAATCATAAACATCTGAACATTCATTCCCATGGTCTAAATATTTAAGGTAACAACATTGTTGAAATTTCTCTTTAACAAAAGGAGAAGTGTCAGCAATTCATAAAATATTTTGCCAATTTTTACTCTAAACAGAAAATGCATCACAATTCATTTATAGTCATATGTTAATGTAGTCACTTGGCTGAGAAACTTCTCACCTCTTGTAAATATTTTTACTATTTATTCGTTCTCCTAGTTCCTTCTCAACTGCAGTTGTTCCACCTGCTTTTGTAGCATATATTCCAATTACTCTACTCTCACAGCTTGCACCAGAAGTGTTGAGATAATGCAAGACCCAAACTGTAGGTTTAGTGCATATTAAGCCATAAGAGTCACAAAAACCTATGAGTGCCTAGAAAAGAAACATACCAACACATATGCACGTATACACATAACAGTCAAACAATGTGGCTATATCTTACATATTTTACATAATTTGAGTTATAAAAAAACTATCCAAAATATCTGCAGCCTAATTCTATGAATGTAGGCCTACTGAGTTCATAGTATTTTGCCACTGTTAAATGCACAGATAAAACAGCTTAACAATATTTTACTTCAAGTATTTATTCTATGTGGCCAAAGTCATTTGCTAAATGCAACAGACAAAATATTTTACTAGATTTTATTAGAAACATGTAGAGAAAACACAATAATATTCAAATGGATTACTGAATTGTGTTTATCATTGTTGAAGGGCTATGATTTAATATATGCATGTTTTTAAATGGATGAAAAATTTCTCTGGTATAATTGGACTGTAAGCATTGCTACATTACACTGTAAAATATTTACTTTAGTCCTATCAATAGTAATCTATATATAATGGCTAATTTTTTTAACCTTTTCCCTGCCAGCCCATCCTAGACAAAGTGGTTTGTGGAATATGCCCCAATAAAAGATAGAAGTTATATCCAGGTCTGAGAAACATGCATTATTTGTCCTTTATCAAATTTTGAGTATATATCACAGAATAATTTAAGACTGTAGGAAAATACAGGAATGAAAAAAGAAGGAAAACCTTCTTAAGTTCAATATTTGTTCTTAAACAATATGTCTCCATTTCATTAGCTAGGTGGTCAACAAGACTGTACGGGTAAGGAATGCCAAAATAATCAGCTTCTTCTTGTAATGCAATTCGTGTTTCCTCATTTTCAGGAAGACACACTTCTCCATGAAGATAATTTAAAAGGTATTTAAAAAGACTGCCATCACGATCAATAAGGCATGCTCCTGAAAAGACACACAAAAAATTTATACATACATTGTATACTACCATTACTCCAAAATCTGTATTAACAAAAAAGGGAGTTCAATTAAACTTTTACTTTATATTAACCAAGTTGAACATAGTTCAAGAAATTGTATTAGATCAACACAAGTAGGATTACCTTATACAGTACTAGAATTCAGAAAATACCTACACTGGGAAATTAAGACTTTTCCAAGCCATGCTAGCGCTTTACTGTACATATAACAAGCAATGTTCAATTTTAATTGTCAAACTATTTAGAAATTGTATTTCCCAATGTCATATCATATTTGCTTACAGAGGGCTTAATTCAAAAGTTTTTCTATCTCTGTCCTCTAGGCTAGAAGTATACACCTTTTTTAGTATGAGGACCATATTTGGCTATTTAGTGGCATGCCAGGAGCTGCACTTCAAAAAGCAAACAAAGGGGAAATTGATTTATTCCCATTTATATTTAAACTGCATGAAACTTAGTATTATTATTCCCTATCATTTAATAAATTTCCTCTTCTGTCCCATTACAAATTAGTTTGATGGCAACTTTGGGAGAGGCTCTGAGGCCATACATGAGGCTTTCAGGAGCTGTATGTGGTCCTGCAGCCACAAGGTGCAGACCTCTGTTCTAGGTGATCACATACTAACAAGGCACTGAAGAAATATTTTCCCTTCAACTCTAATTACACCCCCAACTGTGCATTGGGCTTTGACTCAGAACACTTGTTCCTATATAGAATCCAATCAAACATCTGCAGAATGAGAGCTGTACGTAAGAATGAACTGATGCAGACAGAAGAAACCAAGAGCTGATAGTCAAGCTCACAGGAAAAATAATGCAAAGAAGCATACAACCAAGTTATCTTGTGGCAAATGTTGAAATGGTGTAATGCATTTGTTTATCTTTTCAAGTTTTAGTTATTTGCAATTTAAGAAGCTATTTACCTGAATTATCCATTTTTAAAGGAAACCGTCCACTGAACATTGCTGCTAACATTGAATCCTTAAAACGGCATAAAGATTCACGTCTAGCAGTATACCTAAAGCCTCCAACATTAAGTCGAATAATATCTACCATTTTTTCAGAATTGCTGTCATCCATCATTTCTGCAGTTAATATTGTTGATTAGATTATGTATTTTGACACCTGAAAGAAAATAGTTTTAAAATTGTATTTAGGGGAATAAATAAGAAAATTAATATTTCAGTCAGCATTATCACTCAAAAATAATAGTTAAATGACTTAAATTTTGTGCTGATGTTTCATCTCATTCCTTTGTCTGGACATTTAGTAGAATTCTCCCAATGAAGATCCAAACAGTCACATGGAATGAATATACAGGTCACGCTTCTAACCTGATATTCTTAAAACGGTTGGAGATTCAGTTCCTATAATTCTCATTTCTCAGTCACGGTGGCTGGAATTTTGTGAATTGCAGTTCCAACACATCTGGAAGGCATCACTATATTAGGTAATTTATAAATGCCTTGTTTCTACATGAGTTTCTCTCAACCATACAGTGAAAGCAAATTATATCCATAACCAAAAATCCAACTATTCATATTTAACATTAATCCCAAGAAACACATACAGTATAGTACTAAATATCATAAGTTTTTGCACTTCAAGAATCTAGTACTCATGAACTATTAGAGAAAAGGCTCTGTGTCTAGTAAACATATATTTACTCACTCAGCGAGACTTACTTGTGAATCAAAATGCATTAAGGCCCTATTTTCAGGGGACACCAGAAATATATGGAAAAAAAGAACTTGTTTTACAAATTCATGTCCATGATTCTATCTAGACATCTAGTAGTTGGTATTGGTCCTTAATGCTAATCTCCCCTTATATCAATCTTATATAAAACCTAAGCATTTTCTATTTGTCCTTTGAAGTCTCCCAGTCAATCTACTTGATTACATTAGTAGAACTATGTTGGGGAAGGATTAACCAGGAAAGGCATATTTGGAGCCAGAACAGACCATGTTCCTCAGGCATTTCTTCCTTTATCCAATATGGTCTGGGAGAAACTTGTGAAGTAATGACCTAGTGTGCAGTTCTAAACACTGAGCAGCTACAATTTCAAACTGAAATACCATGAATATTTGCTTACTTAGCAATAACACCCAATCACTTTTGAATAAAATAGGCATAGTAAGATGGTGCTCCATAGCAGAAAGTACATACTTTTCATCAAAAGACCAAATGCCAAGAGTAACATAATATTTTTTACCAGAACTTCCTTTCAGAAGAGGTTACCCAAGGTATGAAAACCTTGCAGGATTGTCACTGAGGGGAAAAAATAGGGGCCAGTACTTTGTACACTACTTTGAGCTGCTGTGCAAACATGGGTTATAAATCAAACAAATAAATGCACTACTGCATGACTTTTCTAGACAAATGTATTGAATAATGGCCTGCTATCCATAAAAACAGCCTGGTTTATAAACTTCTTTAACAAATAATAAGAAAACATCTTATGAGTACTTCAATCTATGAGTTCCTATTCCTCCTTTTCCAAATATACTATGTCATGAGAAAACATGAGGGGACTAGAAATGGAAAAGAAGAATGTCTTGGCCCAGTGAAATTCTCCAAATGAGACAGGCTGGCTGCACAATGAAAGCCTCCTAGAGATGTATGCCATGTCATTAATATGTCTATCCCTTATACAAATTAGGTCTTCAAAATGGACAGCAGAGTTCTTTGCTAGACCCAGCAATATTGTTTCTCTCCCATTCCAAGATCCAAAAGGGGATATGGAACAAACAATGCTGCTGCACATAACAAACAACCATGCTGTACAATTTGAAGTATGAATAGAGGCCCGGCAAACTGGACTCTTTACATTAACCATGTCCAATGGTCAGAAAGTACAAAACTGTTGTATTAAACATCTGGAAGACAACAGCTGCCTCTTTCTATCCTGGGGAGAATCCAGACAGTTCATAGGCTTGCAGCCAAGGTTCCTTAGAAGAGCTAAGCATCACCATCACTTAGAGTAAGGGCACCGTTTCTGAGCTACTTTCCCTAGGAACAAGGCTACCAGAACCGAGTTGCACAAATGTGGGCGGCCACTAGAAGCCAGCAATGGGTCTTGTGTCTTAGCTGCCATCTGGAGGTTGGCCGGATTTTTGCAGTTCTACTTCAGAGCCAATGTGGGGTAGCGGTTAAGGCATCAGACTAGAAACCAGGAGACTCTGAGTTCTAGTCCCGCCTGAGGCACGAAGCCAGCTGGGTGACCTTGGACAAGTCACTTTCTCTCAGCCCTGGGAAGCAGGCAAGGACAATCCACTTCTGAAAACCTTGCCAAGAAAACTGCAGGACCTGTCCAGGCAGTCTCCGAGAATCGGTCACGACTGAACGGATTAAAAAAAAAAACCTTGAAGGAACCCTTCTCCCCTGCTAAGTCAGTCAAGAGAAGTTTTTAGGCATGCCTCCTTTTCCTCTTTAATAAGAAATGCTGTACGTTTCCAAGGGCAGGGAAAACGCGGCACCGGCCAGAAGACGGACACAAAGGGGAAGGAAGAAAGGAGGCCCAGACCAGCCGCTTCCTTCTTCTTCTACAGCCAGGAAACACCAACGGCTGGAGGAGGAGGAGGAGGAGGAGGAGCCTGTGGGACACAAAGCGCTTCGCGGTAACGGGAAAAGGGGGTCCGAAGCAGACGAGGCCGAAGAAACAGCACCAGGATCGCCTCCGCTCGCACGCTCCGTTACCTTCCCAGTCCGAGACTCCGCCCAGAATTCCCGGGAGAGGCACGCGTAGCTCTGCCTCTCTCACGCCAACGTCCACCGCCCCTATTTCCAAATCCGGCGGAAGGGACGAAGGGGGAGGAGGAGTCACGCCCGGGCTGGATTTGAAAAAAAAAGCGCCTGTCCTTAAACCAGCACCCGGAACGTCAGCCTATGGACGCGAGCTAAACAGGACATGTAGAAACCACTTTGACAAACTGTTCCTCTCTCGATAGATGCCTCTCCGCGTTCTCCAAGTTGCTTGCATTGCCTCCGTGACGCTCTTCGCGCGGCCAAGCAAATATAAGTTAAGTCACTGAGTTCAATAAAATCGGTGCCTGCTTTTGTAACTGTGCAGAGAATAAATTATTATTACTATGATTATTATTATTATCTCGCCTCTTTTATATTTACCTCAAGGCGGCGAACATATCTGCTCCAGTTGCATAGGATTAATACATATGTATGGATTTTCATTTTTTTTTTCTTATAGCAAGCCTGAGTTTCTTAAACATAAATTCATATAAATACATCTTAAGTATTTGATTATTTTTGCTGATTTTTTACAGGAACTTCAAGCATTTTGAAAGCAAACCTTGAAAACAATTTATTTCCACTTTTTACTTTAAAAACCGGATTTATCTAAACCTTTTCATCTTTTCCTCTACCAAAACAGATGCCTCCCTGCTTCCAACTCCAGATTTTAGTTTAAGATCACTTTCACTTAGCACAAGCTACTTGCTATTGTTGTCTCAATATGAAAAAGGAGTAATAGAAATAACATTCCAGTTGATACTGACATTGAGTTGCTTTCAAATCCGGTCATACCCAGGCCTGCTGAAACTCAGCCACAAATAATTCAGCTCATATTAATCACAATGGATCCACTCCCAAAAACAATTACAATGCTTTCTCGTGTAAATTCATATTATAATGCTACAATTCTGTGTTGTGTATGTGCACATACAGGAAGATGCAATTGATGGGAAAGGGAGTCCTGCTTTTGCTTTCTGATCCCAGCTAGTTCTTCCCCATCTCCACAAAAGATGCCTATGAGGTTTAAAATGAAGGAGGCTTAAAGTTTTTTATTAATTAAATGTCTAAGTTAATAAAATATTATTAAAGTTCTTCATTTCAAATATACCAAAAATTGGTTTCAAATTAATCAGGATCTTTAATGTGCAAACAGAAGAGTCAAGAATCAAGTGCAGAGCCCCAGTGCTTCCTTGTCACTGATTCAAGGAACTCAGCTCCTAGGACTTCTCAAGAAACCAAATTATTCAATACCGTAACTTAATCTCTGTTCTGATTGGTGGGACTTATTCAATTTAAGTAATATTCTACCAATATGCTGGATGGGGGAAATTATCTTTTATTCACTAGCACTATGGCAATATTTGTAAACTGCCCGCAGGTTAGCTAAAATACTTGCTTTTAACTATTCATCTACGGATAGATGAATCTTCACATTTTTAAGGTCTGCTAGTTTACCAGTGTTGGAATAAGCTCACCTATCTGGTAGGGTGAAAACACCCTAACTTGCATGAGGTTGCTTTCCTCCTTTTCTGCAAAACCTAAATGGCTACTTCTTAATCAGGCAGCAAAACATTTTGGCAATACAATGCCAAAAGTTGCTCCAGTCTGTCACTGGGGTAGCAATTCATAGAATTAGCTCCTGTTTTGATTATATATTAATCCCTCGATTAATAACAATAAATTGCATGGACAATTCCCCATAAATTGCAAGTAACAGTTATATTTGATAAGGAGTACTTACACAAAAAAAGGATACAACTCAGTCAATGTGCTGTACTTTCATGGTCCTCTAATCTAGTCCTCTGATAGAAAATAAACTATGAATTACCAGTGTCAGACTGACAGGATAGTGCTTTTATTTACACTTCCTCCTTCCCATACTTTTGCATATTAGTTATATCAATGAATTATTTAACACCTAGCATGAGGTTATAATTGTACATGAAATAAACATAAAAATATAAGCAAAGTATTTTTATTGAACTTTTTTCCTTGAATTTTAGAACTGACATACATTACTGATCATGTTTCAATTACCAATATAATACCTTTTCAAATGCTTTGAACTGCATGCACTTTTCATTCTTTACATTTAGTTTTTAATTTAAGTAGTTTTAAATATTTTGCATATGGGTGTTTTAAATACAAAATAGAAAACATGAGCCAATTATCAATTAATATTACAGAAATGGCAAGGAAAGGAAGACAATGATGCTTTTTAATCAAGTGTATTGTCTTCAGACACCTTGGAATTCAAAAAAGCTCCATTTGTCACATCTGCCTGGAAGCAAACTCCAAATTCTCAGATATGCAGCATCTGTGAGGGAAAAACTACATATTATCTTTATTGGCACCAAGCACTTTTGTCCTCATACTGTACTGAAAGCAAGCTCTGTAGCCAAGTCCCAACTCTACTTTGTTTCTGTGCCTCAGCCTTCCAACAGTTATCCTTAAGGCTGATCATCCTATTCTTTTACATACTGACCAGCTAGGGGATAGTTTCTAGCTAACCATAGCCCGATTAGAGGAACATGAGGATCAGCCTTTGGATTAAGTATGAATTCTATGGGAACATGCATTAGTTAGCTTGTAAATTATTTTTCAACTTTTTGACATTTGACAAGTCTTTGTAATAGCCGCGTGTCAGTCCTAAAAACACTGAGAGACACATTGCAACTGTCAGGCCTAGCCCAAGGAACTCCTGGAGACTGTGCAGGTTCAATCAGCAAGGTTTATTAGCTAGCGCTTGTTCACAG